AATGGTGACAAAAGAAAAGAGCATGGAACATGCTGGAACTGCCTTGTGATAGCCAAGACTGAGAACTTTTTGTGGCATCCACAATAGTAAAGATCGGAGATGGGAAATTCGCCAAGTTCTGGTCGTCATCCTGGGCACAAGGACAAACCCTCAAAAACATGGCCCCGACATTATTCAAAAAAGCTAAAAGGAAAAAATATCACGGTGCAGAAAGCTTTGCGGGACAATAAGTGGATAGAGCATATCAGCCCGGTGTTTTCGACGACTGAATTACATGAGTATGTCTTGCTTTGGAACGCTGTACAGCAGGCGCAGCTAGATGAAAGCAGGGAGGATAGTATAGTTTGGCGTTGGACAGCAGATGGGGAATATACAACAAAAGGCGCCTACCGAATCCAATTCCAAGGGACCTTCAGCAAGCTGAAACTTACGCCAGTATGGAGAGCAAAGGCTGAATCCAAATGCAGGTTCTTTGCATGGACATTGCTACATAAGAAGATCCTAACAGCTAACAATTTGATAAAACGGCATTGGCCGAATGATCCGATATGTAAACTCTGCAGTAATGAACTTGAAACCCCCACGCACTTGTGCAAAGACTGCGACTTCACAAAACAAGCTTGGGCCTTCCTAAAACAGTGGCTTGGTTTGACGGTAATCGATAACATCGGAATCAATGGATCTCTGCACAGCTATTGGCGAAGATGCCGGACTAAGATTGACAAAAGACAGAGGAAAACATTTGATGGCGTCATGATTTAATTCTAGTGGAATATATGGAAAGAAAGGAATAGAAGAACTTTTGAGAACAAGAGTCTACAACCAAAGAAAGTAGCCTTCTTATGCAAGGAAGACGTGAAGCAATATCAGGCGGCAACAAGATCATACGAGCAGATCAATTCAATCAGCCACAGCAGTAGTAGATAGCGGTTTTTTCTTCTTCCTTATTTTTTCTTTTTTCAGGGGAGTTCTTTTCCTTCAGTTTTTGTTTTCTGTCGAGATACGTTCAGAGTAGAGTGGTTGGCCTAAGGGTCAAAGTAGCGAGCATGGCTCGAGTTGTAATCTTATAATTTTTGTCTCTCTTTTTTTCCGTCTAATAAAAATCCGGCAAAGCTTTTGCCGCCTTTCGGGAAAAAAAAAATACTAGCCATAATAAAGAAGGTAGTGTTATCTCTAATATGACCCAGCCCAATCCCCATCATGTCTTCATAGTGTTGTAAAGAAGTGGGTCTTTCAGACCACACAATAATAATTTCACCATAAATATATTTATGTATAATATAACTTTATTATATCTACACGTGTATATATGGAGTAATTTCACTTTTTCCGTCTTGGGTCTTTTGTCAGTTCCCACCGTGCGGTCGAGTCTGGTGCCACTGTCGTAGGCCCCTCCATGCTGTGATGTATCATATCATGTATACGGTCTACCAGTGGAGGAGTAGAGTTGGTGCGTGGGATACGGAAGAGCTTCGATACGGAGCCCAGCCGTTCCAGGTACGACACGATGAAGTTGACGCATGAATGAATCAATTCATGGAGAAAAAGAAAAGAGGACAATGGAAGGAAGAAGAGTAATAATCGGCCAAGTTAAAGGAAGCGTGTGGGTGAATCCAAAGCCGTCCAATTACACTCCCACGTGTTGAAGACAAAGCGGAGTTTACTTGACATAGCATCATGCTCTATATACTTCCCTCCGTCCAGAAAACAATGCAACTACAAGTTGCATGCCAGCATAAGTAGTTCACGTTTGACTAAATTTCTAGTAAATTCTATTCACATTCACGGCTCCAAAATAGTTTATTATGAAAATACATTTTGTAGTTAATCTAATGATTTTATTTGATATCATAAATATTGATACTTTTTAATCTATAATTGATCGAACTTGATGCTAAACCATGATACTGTGTTAGAATTATATTTTTTTCTGGACGGAGGGAGTATATTGCAAGGTTACATTCTCGCGAGGAGTTTCCCATTAAATTGAAAACTGTCAACCAAAATGGTTTGATGCTTTTTTCTTCATGCACTTGGTTGATAGAGGTGCTATAGTCAGAAGATACTACTATTGTTTTTGTTGCAAAAGTTGTTGCGTCGTACTAAGAAAGATGAGGTGGCATCCTCTTTCGTCGTAGTTGCTTTGGTTGATAGAGAGGTGCTATGGTCCAAGATAGTGTTGTTTTTGGTGCAAAAGTTGCTGTGTCATAGCAAAAAGATGAGGTGGCGTCCTCTTTTGTCACCGTTGCTTTGGTTGATAGAGAGATGCTATAGTCGAAGATAGTGTTGTTGTTTTTTTTTTTTTTTTTGCAAAAGTTGCTGCTGTCATATCAACAGGTGAGGTGGCATCCTCTTTCATCACAGTTGCTCCTCATGGTCACGGCAACTCCGCCTGCTGTGTCGTCGTCCAGTTGTTTCACTTTCCAACACAGAGTGCCATTGACAGCCGTGTTCGGCTGGGGCTCGCTGGCCAACCTCCTCACATGGACACTATTTATATGAACCAGTCAGCAGTACTTCTCTCTCACATAAACAAATCAGCAATAATACTAACCAGCCAACCAAAGATTAAGAAAAAACAAAGCCGTACACATCCAGTCGGGTATCAGCGCATCTATTTTTTCTTCGCCCAATTTGCTGGCGTCAGGAGGAAAGACGGCCCTGACGCTTTTATGTGCACCGCCGCTGGTTGCTCAATGCTCTCACCATCAAACTACGCATGAGCTGCCAGATGAATTGGCACAAGCGAGTTTGTTTTCTTGCTTGGACCTATGGACCGGCTTCAATCAAATTCACAGCCTTCCAAACTGATTGGGAGCACATTTTGAATTCACTGTAATGGCATTCAGCCTCACCGAAGCTCCAAATACGTCTCTAAGGCGCTGTGAACTCGACATTGCAGGCTCTGTTACGCAAATATGTCCAGTTGCACATTTGAACAACCCTAGCGTCAACCCTGCGGATCAACCCTGTGTCACCTAGGTAGCGTGATGAGTACACAGTTACTTACTTGGGTGGCAATCGTTAAGTTTGCGTAGTTTCCCTTACAAGCCGGCGCCAGGACCTTCAGGAACGAGTGTATGTTGGTGTTGGTGTTGGTGTTGGTGGGGTACATTCTTATCCTTTCCAACGATATTTTTTTTATCATGCACAAATGTTGAAATTGGGGGATTCTTCGTCTCTGCAGACATAAACCTTAAGGAGTGCCTATAATTCATTCTTATTCTTATGATTTTTTAGAATTTTTTATTAAAATATTTCTAGTCCGATTCTCCAGTTTACTTACATTTATTCCCTATGATGATGTAACGCCATATCAACAAAACTACCATCACAACCGCCCAAAGTACAAAACGAACAATTTTTAAGAGTTGAGAGCGGTTAAAAACTAGATTTGTAGATCAAGAAGAAAAATCAAACGACGATCGTAATAGTTAAGGAAGATAAACTGAACTTTTCCAAAGCGTTATGGTCCTTCGACCTAGCCGGCCCAATGGACACCACGTACAATGAAATCGAATGCAAACAATTGAAGCACGGCGTGCCTATTTGCTGAAAACAAATGCGAAACAGTTTCTCCAATCCCGACGTCTCACTCCCACAAGGCCCCTTCTTCCCGTCCATGCCCAACTAGAGCTTCCCGCCTGCCCTTTCTTCCCACCCCCGCCTGACCAGAGCTCACCGGTAGCCGCCTGCGCCTACGGCCGGCCCCTTCCTCCCAACCAGAGCCGCCGACGACCTGCGCCCATTGCTGGCATGTCCCTGCCTCCCTCTTCGCTCGCCTGCGATGACGGCAGCCCGCAGCGCGGCAAAAGCTCGACGGCGGCCTGTCCCCGCCATCCCCTCCGCTCGCCTCCAGAAGGAGCCACGACGGCGCTGCCCTCCGCCTGCCCACCCCCCCTACTCTGCGCTGCGTCGTACAGAAGAAGGATGAAAAACGCATGTTGCAAGCGTATGTTTCATGCGTTTTAAATGTTTTAGATGTATGTTGTAAGTATTTTATGCATATGTTGCAAAAGTAGATCGGAATGTTGTATATGTTGCCATGGTTGTACATGTGTGTTGCAAAGCTTCTGTTCCCAATGTTTCATCTGTTTTTTCGAGACTTGTGTTGCAAGTATGTTATTTGGATGTGTGTAGATGTTTCACACATATGTTGTAAGTGTTTTATCTAGATGTTGCGTATGTTTTACTATGGTTTTCAAGTGTGTTTCATGTGTTTTTGCAAGTGTTTCAGATATATGTTTCAAGTATTTCATCTGCCTGCAGACGTATGTTACAAGTGTTGCATATGGATGTTTCAAAAGTAGATTAGATGTTGCATCTCCCTCCTCGCTTTCTGCTGCCTCGCCTCAGTATCTTCTCCTCCCGGCGGCCGACACTGGCTGGGCATACTTCTCAATGTTGGTGAGGTTCGAGGCAACACGGGCCCTGCGTGGGCAAGGGAAACGGCTGCAGGCACGGGCGTTCGGACGCCCCCATCCGTTCGGATGTCTGGGCGCTAGCAAGCCCGGTGTCTCCATCCAATCTTTTCGAAAGACTTCCATCACCATGACTTCCTTCATTTTGGCACTCTCTCTCTAGATAAGACTTTACCAATACCTAATCCAGTACCCTGAATGTTACGTGTAGAAAGTTGTCATTCTGTTAAACACAATATCATTTCTACACAAGCTAGCACCTCGGTGCTGCACCTACTATACTTGGTTCCTGATCCTTGGAGAAAACTCCGTAGCCAAGATCCAAACGACTTGACTGCAATACTATATCTTTTGGTGGTTGAAAATTAAAGGCGATGAACAACGCGAATTCCACGTACATCTTGCAACCTGACAATAAAAAAAGATACTCTAAATTGTTTCCTCCAAACCACAAAAATTGTGTTTAGGCCCTGTTCGTTTCGCTGAAATTTAGCTTATGCTGATTTGTTGTGAGAGAAAAACGTCCGTTAAAAAGTACCGCGGGAGTACTTTAGTTTCTCCTCCCCCTTCTCCAACAAATTATCCTTTGTAAACAAAACCTAGCAACTCAGTCTTTGGAACGGAGGTAGAGAGGACGGCGTGCGCGACGGTGGCCATCGTGACGAAGCCGCCGTTCTCCCTTGGCATCTCGGCCCCGACCATGCCAGCGCACGCCCGTTGCGTGAACTGCGTCGCCTGCATCAACTCCCGCGCGGCGCCGTACGCCCGCCCCGCGGCCACGGACCCCGCCGCCCACTCCAGCGCCGGCACGATGCCATCGTACAGCTGCAGGCACGACTTGAGGCCCTCGGTGGCGTTGGCCGCCCTCGCGGCCACGGCCACGCTGTCCCTGGTCGCGGTGGCGTTGCGCGCCAGGAGCCTGGCCGCGAGCGACGCCACCGCCGCGTAGTCGCGCGCGTAGCGGCACGGCGACGCCGGGTCGTAGCAGAGCTCCGGCGTGACGTAGGAAGCACCCATGAACTCGCAGACTTGGTCCAGCGCCGCCACAGACGACGGCCGCGAAGAGGACGATGAGCGTGGCACTTGTGGAAGCCATGATATTGGTTTTTTGGTTGTGGTCTCCAATCACACAATGTCGCAATGTGTTTTGTGGAGCTTAAATATATATGGATTGGCTCGGGACCGTTCAATTGGTAACCTATAGCCTGATGATCTTTAGATTGCATTTTGCCATGAATTTTTCTTTACTCCTCTCCATATACAACAAGGTATAGGAGTATATCAGAGTATCTCTGATCTTTTATTTACCAAAAAAGAAAGTAATGACTCCGATAGTGGGCAATTAACGATTGCCATTCTTCCAAATTACTAGATTAGAGTAAAGATATTCCTGATTAAGATTGTTTATTACTTTCCAAATCTGTTCATGATTTGTTGTGGTCCAGTCGTCCAGATGCTTCAGTCGTTTCTGATTATTTCTTTGGAAAGATGAAATGTAACATTCAGACCAGCACAAGTCCAATTATGCAATCTGCTACTTTCAAAATCTTACGTTTTCGCGTGCACATAAGGGAATTTTCGCTGAAGGTGAAGAAACAAATGAAGTTTGTTCATGGGTCGATGCAGATCATGGGCAATTTTCTTAATGAAAAAATTGTAAAACAGATGGCAAATTCCAAAAATTGTGATTCTAGTGACCTTTAGGGTAACCAAATACTTGGGATACTGGCTTGGTGCTGCTTATATGGCCGTCAGCCGAGCATGAACCAATAGGGCCCACGTCAACAAAGGTCGAGCCTACTCACTGAATCGATCCCATAAAACTCGATGCTCTAGGAATTAAAAAATGTCATAAAATACTTGATGTTTTAGCTCTTTGAACAATAAATTAGGTTGAGATTGCGGTCTACAGCCTCAATGCATTCCTTTTAATAAGGAGCTTATTCCTTAATTAGCAAGATTTACCTTCAATAAATAAGGATGTATGGGTAATTTCTGTGGAGCATTGTATCCTAAAACTTCTAAAACATCACGGAGTTGTTCGGCTAATGGTTTTTGCGGCTGATAAGCTGGCTGATGGTGATTTGTTCTGAGAGAAAAACAATGTACCATAATTGATAAGCAGTTCAAGCAAACAGGGTGCAAGTTCTTAGGATAGAGGGGGTATTAAGGCATGTACAAACCACAGACAGAGTTGACCGTAAGGTTTTTAATGCTTATATGTAACCATGACCAATCATGAATGACATTTCAGTATATCATTGTGTTGCTCTTTGATACCCCTCCATCCTTAAATATAAGAAATTCAAACGATTTTCGGACAAAATAAGGAGCTTAGCAAAAGACTACATTGCCCCTTACTAATTAGGATGGAGAGAGTAATTAAGTTGTTACTTTCCTTAATTATCGGCTGGCTTTTTATATGACACTGCGTTTAAACTGGGTTGAGAACCCAAAATACCTTATATTTTGGTACAAAATTTGAACCTTGAATTACATATATTTCAGGACGGAGGAAGTACAAAATAGATCAAACATAAAAGAGATAAACAAGATTACAATCATTTTTAGAACCATCAATATAAATGATATATTATATAGTGGCCCCGTTCGGCTTACCTTATAATCCGCACTATTCAGCTTATTTTTTCCGTAGGAACAGTATTTTTCTCTCACAACAATTCAGACAGAACAGTGTTTTTCAGCCAAGTTTCAGCAAGCCGAACGGGGCCAGTATAGCATAACATGATTTGAACATTTTTTACAATTTTTCTTTGTTTACATGGCGTTGCCATATACTCCCTCCGTACTCAAAAATAAAGTCGTTTTAGACAAAGTTTGGGTCAAACATTGGGAATATAAATCATGAATAACTTTTAAGTTGTTGAGTTTGGAAATGTGAAAGCCATATAAATAGATTTGTCTTGAAAAATACTTTCATAAAAATATACATATATCACTTTTTGATAAATATTTTTATAAAAACAAGAGTCAAAGTAATACTTTGGAGACCGTGTCGGTGTCCAAAACGACTTTATTTTTTAGTATGGAGGGAGTATGCTACAAAAATGAGAAATAAAAACAGTACAGGGCAGTGTAGTGAAAATGAGAAGAAAAAAACTGTACATAATATTATCCGTCAATGTGATTTTAAGCGCTATACTCCCTCTGTCATGTAATATAGTGTATTCTAGGAATTTTAAGATAAATTAAGATAGAATATAAAATACGCATGCACCCTCATTTTATTTTCTAATGAGACATTATCATCAATGTGATTAATAGTGATTGGTTGATAAATGGAAAGTATTTAATGCAAAATTGATTTTTGTCCTCTAGAATGTATTATATTTGAAGACAACTTCTGAATGCTAGAATGCACTATATTATAGGACTGAGGGGGTATGTTTTAAGAAATTCAAGAATATATAATTATCAACAAAGACCAAAGGAGGTACAGAAACTACTTACTACAAGCAAGTCCTGATTGCATATTAGTAAATACTCCCTCCACCCATTTTTAACCGTTGTTCTCACTTAATTTTGACTAAGTATATAAAAATATTAATATTAATAGTACATAATTAATATCATTGATTGGATAGATCATTGAATCTATTTTCATAATAAACTTATTTAAAGATATAAATATTGTTAATATTTTCTACAAATCTAGTTAAAATTAAGAAAGTTTGACCGGTACGCACCCGTAGCGACACTTAAATAGAGATAGAGTATATATTTTACTAATTAAAACTAAAAAAATTGAAGAATTACTCAGTAATATTTTTCAAGAACCAAAGTTTCATAATTCAAGTCTACACAACACACAACCATGAGTCCATGAAGCCAAAGGTCCCAATCGAAATGTGCAACAAAAATCCCACCTTTCCTAAACTGCTAGATCTTTTTCTAACTATGCACTGCATACAGTGAAAAGGAGAGCTTCTTTAGCTGCATACACTGAACCTTCACATGAAAAGGCCTGAAATCTTTTTCCTTGACAATTGACATACACAGATGCAATGGATTAACTGTGTTCAGATAATTTTTTGTCAACTGTTTTCAACAGTGGCTTCAAGTGACACCGCGATTCAAGTACTTCTGTGCTTGCACACCTCGTTGCTTTGTGTTTGTTCTGTTACTTGCTATGCTGACGTACTACTATTCTAGTTCATGCTTTACAATTATTAGTATTACAAAATGTTAATAACCTCAACATATGGATTATTTAGATGTATAGTCAGGCCTTCAGGGACAGATAGTAGTGTGCTATATGATGATCATGACCTGATACATGATTCAGACATGAACAGATCACTGTGCGATGCAACAAAAACAAGGTAATTCAGTTGTAGATTGCATTATTGATCCACTACACAGTATCCAGCCATGTCACAGACTCACAGCCTCACAGGAGGCGCCACCAGACATTAAATCCGGCTGCCCCCCTCACCGCCGTGCGCATGCATGCATGAAATGCACGGGATCGGAATGGCCCGCCGCCGCCGGCCGGCCGGCCAGCTACTCATTTTATAAGTTGATGCTGTTGAGCAGCGCGGTGACCATGGCGCTGAGCTGGTCGAACTCGTGGTCCGGCCCGGCCATCCTGCCATTAGATCTCCCGACCGCGGCGTCGCACCCGTCCCCAGCGTCCATGGTGAGCATCACCAGCGCGTGCGCGGGGCCCCAGGCCCGCGCCGCGGCGTACTGGCGGAGGAGCCGCAGCCCGGGCACGGACGCCGCGCCGTACAGGAACGCGCACGCCTGCATCGCGTCCCGCTCGCCCGGGTCGACGCTGCCGTCGCGCGCCGCCGCCGCCGCGAGGTCCTGGGCCTTGGCGCCGCTCGCCACGGCGAGGTCCGTGGCCATGAGGAGGTGGCCCAACCGGTCCGCTGTGGCCGCCCCCGGCACGAACCGCAGCCGGGACGTGCAGAAGTCCACGTCCACGAAGTCGCTGATCGCGTGGCACGAGTCGGCCACGGTGTCGGCGGGCGCGACGCCGAGCGCGGCCCCGGCGGCGGACAGGATGAGGATCGCAGCGGCGACAAGCAAGGTCCTCATGATGCCTTGGCTAGTTTCGCTAGATTGCGGGGTCTATCCGGTGGGTAGGTGACACATCGATTGTACTGATATATAGACTAGACTAGACAGTACTCCGTGTGCATGAGAAGCAGACATTAGAAGTGCATGTTCTCTTTTTAGGAGGTGGAATAAGATCGTATCCCGGCCTCATATTTGGTGCGTTTTGATGCCAATTATCCATATAGAGAGGGAATTATTAAGATCCTTTTTGATAGTATCCTATTATAAACTATATACATCACTCAATTATAAATTTTGTAACAAAAAAAAACATCAGATAGCAATATTTCAGCAAATGCAAGCAAAGAAAGAACGGACTTGCTAGCGCTCGGACGTTCGATTCGGGGCTCTAGCGTCGGACGGTGCTCCCGCGCCCGCACCTGACACTCCCAGCTCCCTCGCGCTCGCACCCATCCTGTTCCAAAGGCCACACGGGCCCAGCATGCACGGGGACCACCCCGAGCCTTCTCCGTTTCACGTGCCCACATGCACACACCAACAACAGCACCAGTAAGCACGTGCGGTGACCCATGGTGGCACGGTGACCCACAGCGGCGCACTAGCAGCAGCAGCATGTGCTTTCCCGTTATCTACTTTTAAAACTTCCAAATGAAACACTTACAACATACGTGAAACAGATGAAAATACTTGAAACATGTGTTTGAAACCTCGCAACGGGATTGGAAGCCTCATGAAGTCGAGCACAGGCGACGTTGTCAACTCCCTCGGCCGTGGGATCTGAAGACGCGGCGGGCAGGAAAGGACGGAGCCATCCCCGGTGGTGGCGAGTGGCGACCGAGGGGACCTTGTGCGGCCTCCCGGCTCGCTCTGCCGTGCGCGGGCGCAGCATGGCTAGCCCTGTAGCGGCACCAGAGGGTGGCGTAGTCAGGAGAAACAGAGCTGTGCGAGAGCGCGAGGGAGTGGTGGGACGGGTCACGAGAGGAACCAATGATATTTACAAGGGCATTTTCGTAATTTTGCATGCGCCTTCGTTTGCGCACCTAATCCTAGAAATGCAATTATTCTGGGACGGAGGAAGTATGTATATAGCCACAGCAGCATGTGCAACGCCAGATCTACTTTTGAAATATCTGCAACATACGTCTGAAATAGATGAAACACTTGAAACATGCGTGTATAGCCATTGCAACATGTGCAACACCAAGATCTACATTTGAAACATTTAGATAAAACATTTGTAACATACATCTAAAACACCTGAATTATTTGAAGCATACGCTTGCAACATGTGTATATAGCGATTGAAACATAGGCAACATCCACATGAAACACTTGAAAACATATGTCTGAAGCACCTGAAACACGACATCGTCAGCGACACGGCCTACCTGGTGAGGTACTGCGGTAGCCCCTCCCCCCTCAATGGAGGCCGGGGACTCGGCGGCGACGGACTTGGAGGAGGCGAAGGCCTCGGCTTCGATGGCCGCAGTGGTGCTCTCTGCATCGAGCTTTGGGACGGCGCCGTAGCGCAGGGAGAGGACGTTGGGCGCCGCGAGCGTCTGCACAAGGCGGCACACCACGGCGTCGTGCATGCGCTGCAACTGTGGCCAGATGCTGAGCAATGGGAGCAGCACCTCCGGGACCTTGGCGCTCGCAGCCCCGCCGGGGTGGCGTCGGCGGATCCCTCGGAGGTCGCGGGCTGTCTGCCCTCGACGGCGGCGTTGGGGGAGTCCTCCGCCATGGCTGCAACCTATGGGGGAGAGTTCGTAGTGGACCACGCCGGAATCTGCGGCGGCGTGGGATGGGCGACGAGTGAGGGGTCGGCGTGAAGCTGGGCTCGAACATTACGGAAGTGGATTTTTATTACAAACTTATGGAGTGGAGCGTGGGCAAGACGCCTGGACCGTTCGGGCTGTCACGGCCCACGATAGCGTCCGGACGCCCTAAGCACAGCATTTCCGAAGAAAGAACGGCACGCGGGAGCTCACCGTGGCAGCGTGACGACCTTTGTCCTGGAGTCCTGGTACCATCTGCCATTTGGCCCATGTATCTCGATGTTTCAAAAAAAGCCCCTTGGGATGGAAATAAATGTTAATAACAATTCATATATTATTTTTAAAAACCAACTTTTATTTGAATTCGCAATCAAGATATGCTAAGAAACAAACATTATTATTTTGGACGCGATTAACAGTTGCCATCCCACTGTTTACATGAACACTTTTTTTGTCGGTTCATGAATTTTCATATGGCACCTTGCTGTAGGTTCCCTTAGAGCGTCTCCAACAAATTACACAATTCGTCCCTAATACAAAAAAAATTGTCATATAAGAGATTGAGAAGGCTCCAATAAATTATTTATCCATTATCAATACCTAAATTTTCTAGGCAATTACTTAAACCCGGCCCCTCTCCCTCAATGAGGGGGATGCATCCCTCTCCACTATCTGGCAGTTGATTCTAGCGGGAGGACATTTTTGGCGACTAGGGCGTCAAGGTAGCCACCGGCACAACAACGGCGCTAGAGCCCCAATGCGAGGGAAGAGGGCGAGAGGGGGCTCACCTATCGTTTGGCCGGACATGAATGGCGGCTTGGGCGGATGTGGGACGGCGAGCTCCTCCAACAGACCGGAATGCTGTACAGACGAGTTGAGGTCGGAGTCGGAGCTGTTGGCAACGCAAACAGGTCGGAGGCAGCCTCAGCTAGCTAAGGCAAAGTCGGAGATAGGCCGCGGCCAAGCGCCGGAGGGTTATATCAAGGGTACCCTTATATAAATATAGCAAGAGAAGTCACCCGCCTATTTCCAGAGTTCTACGTCTGTCGTGACTCCTTTCATTCCACGCATTCCTTTCCATGCGTATATGAGACCTTATTTTTCACCCATGTGGCCATATTTTCGGAAGCAAAATTGGGGTTCTATGGGTAGGCAACTTCCTAAGAGCTTTGCTCTTATTAACTCTTAATGAGTAGAAACTCATATACTACCCAAATGAGCATATGCGAAAATCTAACCAATCTAAGGGAATGTTTAAGATGGCTCTATCTCACTAAAATCAGCTCCAGTGCACCAACTTCAACATGGAGCAGGTTCACTTTGGATTAGAGCTCCATGTGTTTGACCCGCAGCCTAATTGTTGCTCCAGGGGTGGGAGGTTATCATGAGAATGATCTCATACATATGCTCATCGGATGATATGTACTGATTGTTACTTATAATGTTTGTTCATAATATGTGATGATCATTTTTCACTGGTTAAAATTAATTGAAAATCGTAATGAAAATAAGTTCTTGCAATGTGACTGGTCGGAGGAAAAAAAATGAAGCCTTCGCATGCGTCATTCATATGGACAAAATTTATATTAATAAATTGGCAACATATGTATAAGCCATAATTAATCATATCCATCGGTGGCTAGGCTGTTGGCACCGACATGTCCCAATTACTCCCTCCCTTTTATTTTATATCTAGATTAGATATGTATATCCAGATGCGTTGCAAAAACTATTAGACCTAGAAAACCAGAACAACTTACAATTTGGAATGGAGGGAGTAAGTGTGATTTGTCGCAGCATGAACTTACACTTAGACATCTTGATCTGGCATTTGTTTTTGGCATAGAGTTCCAGCACTTGTGTGAGATGTTGCAAGGGTCCTTGAAATGTGCAACTGTAAATAAGGATATCATCGGAGGACACGTGGACACATTTGCATAACAGAGACTGCAGTGTCAAATTCATGGTATGTACCTTCAAACATATTTGGAGCTCTGTTGAGGCTGAATACCATTACGGTGAATTCAAAATGGGCCCAATAAATTTGGAAGCCCGTCTTGAGTGATTCACCAAGAGTCAGGTGAATGTGATTGAAGCCGGGCCATAAGTCCAAACAAAAAACTATTTTATCCGTTCCAAATATACTGACGTTTTGGTCTTCTATACTTGTTACATTACCTTAATGCTTGTTCCGTGCGTCCGTCCCGTGACTCCCGTCCGGACGAGCCTCATCCACTCATTCACCCATCCTCGACCACTCATTCACGGACCCAGCCCGCGTCGCACGCCCCTCTGCACCCCGTGCCCCCGCTCGCGGGACGACTCCGCTCGCCCGTGCCACCCCCACTTGGACGAACTCGCATGCCCCGCTCGCCGGCGTCGCCCCCGCTCGCGCTGCCTGCCATCACGGGACGGACTCCGCTCGCCCGGGCTGCCCCCGCTCGCAGGACGGACTCCGCGTGCGCAGCTCGCCGGCGCCGCCCCCGCCTGCGCCGCTCGCCCGCCGTCCGAACTCGTGCCTCCCATTGCGGACACGCTCCATCCGCCTACCGTAGCCACTACCGAGATCCGTGCCACCGCCGAGCTCCGCATCGGCGACCTCCGAGCACTCCGTGGCAGCGAGCTCCGTGCCAACGTCGAGCTCCACAAGGACGAGCTCCATTCGTCCAAACTGCAAGGTGACATTGCTAAAAACACGCGTTACAAGCATATGTTTCGAGTGTTTCAGTTGTTTTAGAGGTATGTTGCAAGGGTTTCGTATGGATGTTGCAAAAATAGATCGGGATGTTGCATAAGCTGCAATGGTTGTACACTTACGTTGCAAATGTATGTCCCTAATATTTCATCTGTTTTTTCACTGCAAGTGTGTTTATTTGGAAGTTCCATATGTTTCACGCATATATTGCAAATATTTTATCTGGATGTTGCATACGTGTTGCAAAGGTTTTCAAGTGTTTCATGTGTTTTTTGCAAGTGTTTTAGATGCATGTTTCAAATGTTTCATCTGTCTTCAAACGTATGTTACAAATATTTTATCTAAATGTTTCAAAAGTATATCAGGTGTTGCACATGTTGCAATGGCACCGGTAGCTGGCGGACAGCGGCATGCTGCAGGGCTTCGGCTCCTACCTCGCACCGTCCTCACGCGGCGTGCCTCGCCCTCTCCTCTCCCTTACCTCCCTCTCCTTCCCTCCATCTCGCCGTTGTAGTTCGAGCTCGGCCGGAAACCCTACCTGACAAGCA